TTAGTTTAGGTTATTGTTGGGGTGTTTCCGTTTGCTCGGCCGCCTTCGGCGGCCTCGCTGTTATATTAGTTTAGGTTATTGTTGGGGTGTTCCCCTGAGCTCGGCCGCCTTCGGCGGCTTTGCTATTATTTTTGGTTATTGTTGCAGTGTTTCTGTTTGCTCAGCCGCCTTCGGCGGCTTCGCAATTGAGGTTAAGGTTATTCTATTCACTAAACTCCTCGCTGGAGTTAATTAATTGCCTGTTTAAACTAAGAAAAATCAATATTTTTGCCTTCCCGCCCATTTTATTTTGATTTTTTTGCATTTTTTATGCTTGTCATGCTGTTTACGAACGGCCCCCCAAGTCGCTACATTGTAAACAAACATTTTCCCAGCCGCCGTTTTCACCGTCGCCATCTATCGGCGGCGAGCGGCTCGTCCTGGATAAGCATCCGTTTTCCGTCCCTGGCACCAGCAGTAGGGTGAACAGGAGGACGGGAGTGCTGGACATTGTGCTGATTCTATTCGAAATGATGAAATGCTGCAGTTTCGAATAGCTGAAGAGAGAGTGAATGCTGACTCTGAGTGAAACTGACCGCTGCTTTTTATGTGCATGCACCAGGCACAGTGCCTATGCTAAAGGAAATGGAAGGGAAGCCTTACGAGGAAGTGGGCAGGCAGGAAGATTGACAGCGCAGAATGAAATGTTTCCTACTCATCATCATCATCATCATCATCATCAAGAGCACTCTGAGCGACAACTAGTTTTTTTGCCGTCTTTCCCACACAGTACAAGTTTCCTGTGGCTACTGAAGTTTTGTTGAATTTGTTGTTTTGTGTATTTCGAAATGGTAAAAAGCAAACTGAAAGAAAAAGAGAAACGAAAAAGGTCAAGCGCTCGAAGGCAGAAGAAGAGGAGGATTGAGAGTTCAGAGAAATTGCATCATCGATCGCCTGCAGCGGCGGCGGCGGCCCCTGGCGGTTGACCGTTGAAAAGTCGTTTGAAAACAAGTGTGTGCCGTGCGCGTGTTTGTNTCTCTCTCTCTCTCACGCACACAAAGTGTCTGTTTGCGCGACCGTTGGCTTCGGTGCACCCGCGCGCGCGCGCTCTGTCTGCCTTTGCCCCTTCCCCTCAGTCTGTGTTTTGCCGCCAAGCGCTGCGGTTGTTGGCAACGACAGGCAACAACACAAATGCTTGATTCTGACAGAAGTTCTGTTCTATCTGTCTTGAGATCGCCGCTTTCTTCAAAAGCCTTTTTTCTCTCCTGATTCGCCCATCATCATCTCCTCGAGGTGGTGGTGTCGGAGGCCTGTTCCAGAAATCTCTAGCAATCTGTTGATCATCACAACTGTCATCATCATCATTCTCAGTTTCATCATCATCATCATTAGCAGCTGCAACAACCGCCGTCAAGATGACCACGTCGGCCGTCTACGGCTTCTTCAAGTTCACCTCGAAGGCTGACGGCCGCTCGGGCCGCTGTGAGGTGAAGAAGCTGCCCTTTACCTTCGGCAGCAGCCTCACTGACGACATTCGCATTCACGCGCCCAAGGTGCAGAAGGGGCACCTGCAGGTGCTTCGTCTCGGCTCGAAGGAGGACGGCGACAACCACGGCAACAAGCTCATCATACGGCCGTCTTTGAGTAAGTTACCTTTTTTCTCAGGGAAATGCCTTTCTGGTTTCTCATTGCTTTTCTTTTTTTTGCAGACGCCACCGTACTCGTCAATGAGAAGGTGCTCGAGGTGAACGCCGAGTACGCCCTCAGCCACAATGACCGGGTCAGCATCGAAGGTCGGTGCTTCACCTTTGAGGCGGCGGCGGCTACCCACAGCCTGACTGACTCCTTCATCGAGGCGGCCACTGTTGCGGAGATAACAACAGCAGAAGCGACTTTACCGGTGGCCGCGGAGGAGGAGAAGAAGGAGAAGAAGAACAGTCCACTTCGTCCAGTGGTGGAGCCATCGCTGGAGACACTCAGCACCACCACCGATGACTGCCGAACGCCCAGATTTGTGTCGCTGAAGAAGCCATCCAATCCTGCAACGGCATCAGCAGCTGCAGCATCAGCACTGAAAGTAAAGAGTACGCCCTCTCGTATTCCTCGGTGTGCTCAGAAGACCGCCGCAACGACCACCACCACCGCCAGCACCACTAGCATCAGCGGCTCAGCCAAACGACAGCCGCTCAGNCGCCCAGATTTGTGTCGCTGAAGAAGCCATCCAATCCTGCAACGGCATCAGGAGCTGCAGCAGCATCAGCACTGAAAGTAAAGAGTACGCCCTCTCGTATTCCTCGGTGTGCTCAGAAGACCGCCGCAACGACCACCACCACCGCCAGCACCACTAGCATCAGCGGCTCAGCCAAACGACAGCCGCTCAGTGTGCAGTTCAACCGCTTCTCCGAACAGAAGGGCCTCACCTCGAGGAAGCGAGTCTACGTTCCCACGAAGCTCTTTGATGGGGAGAAGCCCAGCAAACTGAACGACATTGTTGCGAAGAACGCCGAGAACGCCCTCAGCCGCAATGACCTGGTCACCACCGTTGAGCAGTCTCACAATAGCCTGACTGCGTCCTTTATCGAAATGGAAACAACAACAGCAGCAGCAGAAACAGCTTTACCGGCGGCAGAGGAGGAGGAGGACAACAGTCTACTTCACTCAGTGGTGGGAGCAGACACCACCACCGTTGACTGCCAAACGCCTACATTTGTGACGCTGAAGGAGCCAAACAGTTCAGCAAAATCAGCAGCGGTAGTAAAAAGTACGCCCACTGCTGCTGCTGCTGTTCCTCGGCGTGCCCTGAAGACTGCTGCAAAGACGACTGGTTTAACCAGCAGACAGTTGCCCAATGTACAGTTCAACTGCTTCTCCGAACAGAAGGGGGTGATGATCTCGAGGAAACGAGCTTGCTTTTCCACAAACCTTTTTGATGAGGAGAAGCCCAGCGAACAACTGGACGACGCCGTGGACGAGAAGGCAGAGAACGCCGAGATCAGCCACAATGACAACAACAGCAAGTTGATCATACGGCCGTCTTTGAGTGAGTTTCCCTTTTTCTCATTTACCTTGCTGGTTTCTCATTGCTTTTCTTTTCATATTTTGTTGCAGACGCCACCGTAGTTGTCAATGAAGGGGTGCTCGAGGAGAACGCCGAGACCGCTCTCAGCCACAATGACCGGGTCAGCAATGAAGTCCTGTCCACCACCTTGGAGGAATCTCACATCGGCATGACTGCGTCCTTTATTGAAACGGCCACTGCTTCGAAAACAACATCAGCAGCAGCAGCTTTACCGGCGGAGGAGGAGAACAACAGTCCACCTCATTCAGTGGTGGAAACGTCGCTGGAAACCAGCACCACCGCTGACTGCCGAACGCCCTCATTTGTGTCGCTGAAGGAGCCCAACAGTTCAGCATCAACATCAGCAGCAAAAGTAAAAAGTACGCCAACTGCTGCTGCTGGTGCTCCTCGGCGTGCTCTGAAGACTGCCGCAAAGACGACCGGTTTAACCAGCAGACAGCTGCCCAATGTACAGTTCAGCTGCCTCTCCGAACAAAAAGGGGTGACCTCCAGGAAGCGAGTGTGCCTTTCCACAAAGCTCTTTGATGGGGAGAAGCCCACTGGCGAACTGGACGACGACGTCGTGGACGAGAAGGCAGAGAAGGCAGAGAACGCCCAGATCGGCCACGATGACCTGCTCCCCAGCGAAGGTCTGTCTTTCACCGGTGAGGAGTCTCGCATCGGCATGAGCGAGTCCTTTATCGAGAAAGCCACTGCTTCGGAGACAACAACAACAACAGCGGCAGCAGATTTACCGGTGGTGGCGGAGGAGGAGGAGGCGAACAGCAGTCCACTTCACTCAGTGGTGGAAGCGTCGTCTGAGGCAAACACCACCACCACCGTTAGTGCTCATTGCCAAACGCCCTCATCTGTTTCGCTGAAGGAGCCATCCAATCCTGCAACAGCAACAACAGCATCATCAGCAGTGGTAGTAGAAAGTACGCCCACTGCTGCTGCTGCTGGTGCTCCTCGGCGTGCTCTGAAGACAGCCGCAAAGACGACAGGTTTAACCAGCAGACAGCTGCCGCCCAGTGTACAGTTCAGCTGCTTCTCCGAACAGAAGGGGGTGACCTTCAGGAAGCAAGTGTGCCTTTCCACTAATCTCTTTGAGGAGGAGAAGCCCACTGGCGAACAACTGGACGACGCCGTGGAGAAGAAGGCAGAGAACGCCGAGAACGCCCTCAGCCACAATGACCTGGTCACCACCGTTGAGGAGAAGGATCACAACAGCCTGACTGCGTCCTTTATTGAGACGGCCACTGCTGCAGAGATGACAACAGCAGAAACAGCAGCAACTTTACCTGTGGCAGAGGAGGAGAAGAACAGTCCACTTCACTCAGTTGTGGAAACGTCGTTGGAGACCAGCAACACCGATGACTGCCACACGCCCTCATCTGTGTCGCTGAAGGAGCCCAAAAGAAGTCCAGCAACAGCAGCAGCTGCAGATGAGCCTGTTGAGGAGGAGAAGGAGGAGAAGAACAGCAGTCCACTTCGTTTAGTGGATCACCACAGCCTGACTGAGTCCTTTATCGAGAAGGCCACTACCTCGAAATCAACAACAACAACAACAACAACAGCGGCAGCAGATTTACCGGCGGCGGAGGAGGAGGAGGAGAAGAAGAATAGTCCACTACGTCCAGTGGTGGAGGCATCGCTGGAGACACCCAGCACCACCACCGATGACTGCCGAACGCCCGCATCTGTGTCGCTGAAGGAGCCCTCCAATCCTGCAACAACAGCATCAGCATCTTCAGCATCATCATCATCAGTGGTAGTAATCAGTACGCCCACTGCTGGCCTTCGGTGTGTCCTGAAGACTTCCGCGACCACCAGCAGCAGCGGCTCAGCCAAAAGACAGCCGCTCAGTGTGCAGTTTAACCGCTTCTCCGAACAGAAGGGACTGACCTCGAGGAAGCGAGTATCCGTTCCCACGAAGCTCTTTGATGGGGAGAGGCCCACTGACGAACAGCTGGACGACAAGGACGAGGACGACGCCGTGGACGAGAACGACGTTCCCGAGGACGATCTGCTGCAGTCTCCGCTGGTTGCTGCTGCTGCTGCTACGCCGCAGAAGACCTACTCAAAGTTGACGCCCGTTTCGACGTTGTCTCGCCGACTTACTCTGTCATCATCGGCGGCTAAAAGGCGAAAGATTGATCACCAGACTGAGCCTCAGCCTCAGCCACAGCCATCACCACCGCCACCACCACCGCCCTCAGAAANGGCGAAAGATTGGTCACCAGACTGAGCCTCAGCCACAGCCATCACCATCACCACCACCACCACCAGAGACTGCTTCTAAAGTCGCCGAAAGTGCTGAAAGTGCTGATGATCACATGTTGAATGTTGACAACCACGACGATGACATCTGTGACACGCCAATCGTTCAGGCCGGTCGTAAGCGAGCTCGGGGAAGGAGGTTGGCCAAGTTTCTGGACGATGATGATGATGATGAGGAAGAAGCCGAGGAAAAGGAGGACG